CACACACACACACACACACACACACACATGCACACATGCACAGCAACCCATTGGTCCTGTACCCAATTTCTCTGGAACTGGCACTGACCCGCCCACACACACACAGTCTCCCAGCAACAACGCCCCTGCGGGTCAAATGCTCAGTGTGCTCTCTTTGGAGTGTCAAGTGTTTTTGTGTGTGCGTGTGATGCCATGCACACATCAGTCATGTATCCATAACTGTCCCAGAAACAACGTCAGGAAGTTTTACTGATGATTAAGGGTAACCCCATTTCTATATTGGTTTAACAGGTTTGGATACAAATGTCCCAGGAACATTCTTGCCTCTCTACCAGTCCATTTGTGGTGCGTCAACACAGTGACTCAGACACTGTCAATGGATTTCACAGCGCCTCTCTTTAAAACTTTGACTAATTAAAATGAAACCCTCGTCAGTCATTGAGAATCTTGGCACAAACAATTAAAATAAGTTTGTAAGGACACAACAATCTAGTTTTAATAATTGATCACCTTTCACAATCAACAGGCTGCTCGATCTTTAACCCCCTTTTTCAAATAACACTGGAAAAGAAAACAACGTTAAAAACACACACTCAACAAAACATTTTGTACACACAAACTCTCTGCTGCACAAACACCCACACACACTCACACTGCACAGCACACATACACTTGCATCCACGATCAAACACACACACACTTAAATCATTGTGTTACTACACCTGTGTGGGGCCTACAAGTATAAGGAAATGTGTGACTATGATACAGTGCCAGACAGTTTTACAGAGTGAGCTAACTCACCCAAGCTGATGAGTGTGCCATGTGTGCGCAACTATTATTATTTAACTTGGCACACAAGGGAAAGGTGACGTGCTGACATCACAGTTGGCACACACGTGAAAACTACTCTAAGCATCACCGCAGCTCAAGTCTTGAAGGTAAGTGGTTTATTTTTTGTGTGCAAATTTTGTACCTAGATCTGTGGGTGACTGCTTGATAGCACAAGTAGGTATGTGCATACGATATACTGACAGACCGAGTTTGAGCTAACTTACCCAGGCTGACGAGTGTGCGTGCCACCCATAGGACATCAGCCACTAGTGCGGGAAAGATCAGCGCAATGCTCAGGACGTTCCCATACTTCTGCTGGAAGGGGTCCATCATTGTCACATACTTGTTCTCTCTCATGGGCTTGGCAAAGAAAAAACCACCTGGAGCAGAAGTGATGAAATCAGCAAAATAAAATCTCAGTCTCTCTCTGGAAAACGGTGAGGCAATCAGGCTCAAAACATGGCAGCCCTTTTAAAAACACTGAATGAGAGCGAGAGGAAGAAGAGGAAGAGAGTGAGTGCGAGAGTGAAAGAACAAACACGTATGAACAATAAGAAAAACAAGTGTTCCCTCCAGATAACTCAATAAACACCTTGAGGTGAACTCATGGGTCCACTTGGTCAACAATAGACGACAACAGAAGCGGAATGTTATATTTCCTGATCAGGGATTTTGGGGTTTCCATTTCCCAAAATCCCTCCCACACAGAAACACACACACATAAGCCATTGTGACAGTGAGGACAAGGAATTGATAATTTCACCCGTTTCAAATGTTTACAGTCGAATAACTGAGTTTGTCAGTTTGGTGAATTCAGGAGCAGGAAATCCAAGTCTCTTTGCACCTGTTGCCTCAAAATGATTTCCCATGGTCCTATTTTTAAAGTGAGCGACACTTTTATTGGAGTGTGGAGTCTGTGGGGGGTTAGGGGTATGGGAGCGGCGTTGGTGGCCAACAACACTTGAGAGACAGAATCAGTTCAGTTTGATATCACACCTAATAAACACCTAATGTATACAAGCTTTGGGGAACTTTATTTTATTGTTATCTATAACTAGCTGTTATACCCAATTAAAGTAAATATCCTATAAAATCACTGCATATACTTATACTGTAAAATACATTGTTTTTTTCATCCCATGGGACTTTTAATAGTTAATGAGGGTTAAACAAAGGAAACAATAATGACGATAACCTTCCCTCTTCCAAACCTGACCACATAATCTTCAATTCAGAGATGTAAAGAAGATGGCCACTGACATTTACTGCAGGTGTTCATTTCAAACCCTACATGCATGACCTTAGGTCTTGTGTAACAAGACTACGTTAGGCTGCATAAAGTACATACCTACTTTTGTGTCTATATAAATCTGTGATACAGCAGTGCATGAATAACATGGACTGTTCCACTGATCAGTTTCACTCACAAAGTTGTATCCAATTAAATTTACGAATCATGTCAGACTGCAATCAGCTGACATGATTGGTAAAAAAAAAAAAACAAGAAGTGGAAGGGTGAAAGCACAGAGGGGGAAGGTCAGGGACAGGTTTATGGTTCAGCTTTTTATTGGCTTTAGGATCAATTGTGCCACTCACCTAAGAAGAAGGTCAGCACATAAGGCACAGGCATGAGAGCCCACACTGCGCCCAGTGTTGGGTTGTATGTTGCCTCAGCTATACCAAGGATGAAGCCGCCACCCACCCATGTAGCTGCAGAGAGACAAAACATGACATGTAGTGTGTTCATTCCAATCATTTTATACATACTTGACAGCCTTCTTAGATGGCAGTTATCTCTATAATCCAATCGTAAATGTCATGTATGCAATATGCCTGCTCATATATGCCTACCCATTACCGGCTCAGTCATTACAGATGTCACTGCTGCTCCCCTGATCTCTGTCAGACATTTTCTTTTGTATAAATACTTGATACACCTCTCCATTTATGTTATGTTATGTCCAGATACTGTCATCTCTCATGAATATTGTAAATCAATGGTCGCCAACCCATTGATCACGATCTACCGGTCAATCTTGTCAATCTTCACTATTAATCCCTTTTATATATACAGTCTATGGTTGATCCCCTTAACTCTCTCTTAGTACTAAAGGTCTTCTATGGTATGAAGACCTGCATCTTCCATTCTGTTGATAATAATCAAAGCCCCATTAGAACAAATGAATGGATTCAGAAAGTGAAACGTTGGAGTGCTTTTACTTTGAAACGGATTTGGGGAGTGTTGGTAATATGTATGTGACATAGACAGATGAACATTGTGTTACACAGCAGAATAAACAGAGAAAATAACATTTCACCTGAGTTTTGATGTTTATCAGATGAATTTATGTCACAAATGTAAATGTTTGCAACACTTTCTGTATGTTTTTCACTAAAGTTTCTGTTGACCGAGTCCATTCTTTTGTTTAAAAAAAATATTTGCAGGGGCGGAAGATGCATGGCTTCATACTGTTTAGTTCTTGTATTTATTTGAGTACACAGGACTACATAAGGTTTTAAACAAGGAAATAGTCATATTTATGGCCATATTTAAAGCAAACTCTATGTAAAAACATTGTGCTGCAGTAGCAGCTCCTCTGAAAAACATATTGTTGAACTGAGAAGGCAAATATTGTGCATTGAACAGATGCTGTAAATCTCTCTGATATTAATGTGAATATTGTGCATTGAATGGATGCAAAAGTTGCTTAACTGTCTTTCTTTGTGTATATTTATGCTTATACATTGAGCCTTTTACATAAATTGCAAAAAATAATAAATATGACCGTCCTAAGTTTTTTTTGGAAGATAACGGAGTGGTAGATCTTGGCTTACGTTTAGTATTAAAGTGATCTTGGGTTGGTGACTACTATATATATATACCGTATATTGCACCTCTGTCTGTTTTGAGTTCTCTTTGCTTTACCTGTAAGAGTGAAGATGCCGACGAGCAAATTGATGTTGCGCCCGGCCAATAGCGTCATCTCCATGCCATCTCCTTTGAACTTCTTCTCCTCCTTTTTGGAACGCAGGGACGCCCAGATGCCCGTGCCCAAGATCAAAAGGTAGAACACTGCCATCACCGCCAGACCTGGCACATTGAGAGCCATCCTGTTCTACTGCTGTGTGCGTTCCCTGTTGGATAGAGAGACAGAAAGAGACAAATATGAAGATTTGAGTGGCTAAACATACAAAAGATCATATAAAGACGCAATGATTGTTTAAATCATTAAAGCAAATAATACAAAATGCTTAAACTAAAATCACATATTCTCATTTACTATGAGTGTTAAAATATTTGTAGAACTGCAGGACAGGAAGGTGGGGGAGGCAAGTCTGCAAAAAATCAAATGTCATCTAAGATGGTTCTGACAAACAAAAAGGTACATTCATCATGTGCAGAAAGCTATTAAGTGCAATAATGAACAACAATGAGCAACAATGAACAGAAAACAGTAGCCTTTATTCATATGACTAAAGAGAGTAAGGTGAGCAAGGTAAAAAGATGTCGTCTCAAAGAAAGAATGAATAAAAAGGTTGCAGTGGGAGAAAAAAAGACAGGAGCGACAGCATCTCGGATGACCTGACTCTACTTGCTTGGCAGACGGAGTGATGGGGTGGAGAAAGGTGGAGTGGAGGAGGAGAAAACAGAAGGCAGGGGAAGGGAAGGATGAAGACGAAAGGGGTCTCACCATAATACTTGGCAGCACTGACAAAGATGGCGGACAGATGTTGTCCCCCGTCTTCAGTGGTTGGGCGGCACGAGTTTCGACCCCATACATTGGGAAGTAAACACAACTCAAAGCCAAGTTAGTGTGTACGTGTGTGTGTGTCTGTGTGTTTGGATACTGTAACTGAGTGTGGAGCAGATGTTTTCCTAAAAAAAGGTTCATATATATGAGAAAAGTCTTTGCACCTATAAAAAAAGCATTAATCTTTAGCTGCTGGTTTGCAACTACTTGCCCCTGCTTCTCTGCACATCAACATGGCTTATATCAAGTACACCCCATCAACTGTGTTAATGCAAACCAGGGAAGTTGAAGTACAACTTTTTTAAATTAAAATAAATATCACAGTAAGGCAGTTTCTTAGAGCACCCTTTTCTTTATTACAGACAGAAATGTATTTGTAATAAAACACAGCCATTCTTTTCATGGTGAAAAAAACAAGACATGGCTCCCACCCAACAGGGTGAAAAACATCTGTTATACAGAAAGCTTTGGCTCCAATCATAAAACTCGAGAAAGAAAGAATGCATGTATATCCACATGGAAGAATAGAGAATGGAGAAGAAGGATATGCTTGTAAAAAGAAAGGAGAGAAAAATACCAGTAGGAGTCAAATGTGTGTGTGTGTGTGTGTGTGTGTGTGTGTGTGTGTGTGTTAATGTGAGGGTATGAAAGCAATGGATGAGGGACTTTGGGGCTGGAAGAGTCTGTGCCAAAGTCAACAAAATCCTGAGAAGCTCAGTCACGTGGCCCATAAGTTCTGTAGGTCTGTGTGTGTGTTTGTGCACCTTGGTGCAGCCCATACATACCAGACATAACACAGCTCAAGGCCATATCATCGAAGAAAAGAAAGAAAAAAAAAACTATAAAAAACTATATATTTTGTAAGCACATTTTCCGAGCTACATTATGAACTTCTTACCTCACTACAATCATTTACAAGGAAAACACAAACATCAAGTATGACTCCAATAAATATACAGCATTATTTTAGTCAATGTGAACACTATGGCTTCACATCTTTATTCAAAAAAACCAAAAACAAACAGTATTAAAAGTTGTAAAAAACTTGATTCTCAGTTGGTCTGGCAGTACAAGCAGCCCAACTGTAAACAAACAAGTATGGAGTAGTCTGAGACCTCACCAATGCTTAGCCAAGGGCGGCTGTGGCTGACCAGAGGGCCAGCAGTTCGATCCCCAGTCTTCCCCATCTGCATGCCAAAGTGTCCTTGGGCAAGATGCTGAACCCCGAATTGCCACTTATAGAACAAAAATGTGGAGCTAATAGATGAACTGTATGTGTGTGTAAATGGTGAATGTGTATGGCACTGTACTCTAAAGAGCTTTGAGTGATCATCGACTACAAAAGCGCTATATAAATACAAACCATTTACCAAGTAATTGCTATAACTCAGAAAAGGCATTCATTATGGGCAGCGCACACGCTTACCTTTTGTTTTTTGGTGCTAGCTACCACTAAAATCAACAGCATTAACTTGGGAGAGAATGTTAGCAATCTTTCCAAGAGCTTGTAAAACTTTTTACTGGGGCTTCATGCAACCACAGAGGTGGCAGATTTCCCTGAGGGCTGCTGGTATTTTGCGTCTGCTCGTAAAACAAAAGAACATTGGGGAGAGAATCGTAGGGAAGCCTTGAACCAGTACCATGAATTTCTTAAGTAACTGACACATTTATAGATAAAAACCGACCAACCTTAATTGTTGCATGTTAAAAGACATGTATGTGATAACATGGCCTTAAAGCTACACTAATAAATCTTTCATAAACCTGGGAGTGGAAGATCTCCAACACACTCTTATCGTAGGCTGTATACGAAGATGGACGACATGACTGACACCGGAAAGTGTCTCAGTCACCACCTGGTGGCTGACTTTCTAGTTTGGTCCATGCCCCATCCACATTACATGGAGGAGGCGAGGAGGCAGGAATTATGACCTATACTGCTGCCAAAAACACATCAAATAAATGTTTCACAAAGAGTTTTTGTCATTTTATGGTCGTTCTTATCAAACTGATCAACGGCAATAAGCTGCTATAAAAATGAGGTAATGATTGACAGCTCCGACCAACTCACATTTGGTTGATCACGTGTATATTTTTATATTTTTGCTTCATTTATGTACGAAGGAGGAAGTGGAGACATGTCATCCCTCTAAATATACAGTCTATGTTTCAAACAGATACAAAGCACTGACATATTATATATAGCATGATTCCTCCTTCAGCTAGTGGCTAACTTTGTCTTTGATACTATAGGTGATGGATTCAATGATTTCTGACAACTAACAGTCGCAGTAGGAAATGACACAAGCAAGAGCAGTGACTCTAAAATGTAAAGTCAATGTACCAAAAAGCCAAGACAAGGAGCAGAAAGAGGCTCCATCACAGCACTGAGTTCAGTTTAGGTCTTTCCGGGTTTCTTACTGCAGTGACCCATTTGACGTTAATAGCATATTAGGTCAGCTGATTTATTGGTATGGTAAAATGTTGGAGCTTTATAATATTAGTGAGTTTCAGTTTGGATCAGCCTTTCTTAAGCCTTACTGTATATCAGCTATATGTTTCAACTACACAGGGTTAGCAAAGTCTACAGTGGTTTAGTGAGCCCCTCACTCCTATTTGTACAGTAGTATGCAAGATATTCCAGAGCAGAGAGAGATCTGGGGTCCCTCTATAGAGATGTGCACGCCTATTGACCTATTTTGGAGTTGAAAAAAGTCTCTTATACGCCCCCTCCCCCACTACACACACTTGGCCCTCTTCTTTCAGTGTGATGCGTTTGATGTCCATAAGGACCTGGTTGGTGAATGTGGCTCATCTGCCTTTCCTCAGTGAGGCCGGATGTGCTCATGTTACTGACTCTGGTCCAAATGCAACACAGGAGAAACACATATTTCAGATACTTAAACTGATTCGGTCACACTTCCTTTACTTTGCCATATTTTTTGCAGCTATTGAATGTCTGGATTCACTGAGAGTTGAATCAAGAGCACATCTGACTGAAAAGGATGCCAAGTTAATATTTAACTCATGTATGCTGTAGGCAACTTCTAACCTGGCAACAAACTATCGTTGCAAAGGAGCAGAACTATAGAGTCAATAAAACCTGATGGCTTTCCCTTTTAAGACCCTCCAAACAGTTTGGCTAATGCATTGACCTTCACTGATTTTGTCAGAATAACTAATGTCAGGTAACATATGTATGTAATTAAGAGGCCGAGTCTCAGACGTTAAAGCCCCTGGCCCTCGCTTTTGGAGAAAAAATGAATTATTGATGATTCAAATACCAAATAACATATGATATAGATTGAGATTTTTCCACATGTACTGCTGCCTAAATATTCCCTTGTATACTAAAATACGTAAATTAATGTATCTTGTGCAATTAGTGATACTGATGAATAATAATGAATATGCCTAAATATTACTTATGTATTAACTTTTGAGTAAAACGTTATTGATGGGTGCTGACTTTGCCCTATATACTTTTAAAATAGTGGGTGACACAGTGGAACAGTGATTAGCACTGTTGCCTTACAGCAAGAAGGTTCCTGGTTGGAATCCTGTCTGTGTAGTTTGTGTTGATATGCTGGCAACATGTCCAGGGTGTATCCCACCTCTCACCCAATGTCAGCTGGATCTTGACTCCAGTCCCCCCACCCACCAAAGGTGAAATGTTTCCTTCATCAAGCTGGGTAATAAAACAATGGCACAATAAAAATGTCCTAAACAGCAATATCATACAAATTTGATTTATAATGCTTATGGATTGTGCAAGCATGGTGGGAGGCATAACATATAATCAATTCTCAATGATCTCCCTAAAGACTAGTAAAATGTTTTGCTGTTCACCAGGTGTTTTTTCCTTTTGTTCCCAGTTTAAAACCACAATTAATTGTCTGGTGTCTTCAACTTTGACTAAGCCACAACTCTGAGTCTTTACAGCTAAATGAAATAATGTTATGACATATCTTGTGAAAATTATCACTGTATGATCATTTTTATTGTGATAACATTTTTAACCATGACACCTTAATCCTCCATTCATAAGAATTCGAGAATTGGAATCATTAAGTTAAATCAGTATAGAAACATAGTATAGTAACCAGTTAAGAGTTTTTTTCTCTATAATATTGTTCAGTCTCAACCTTAAACACACATACATGCATTATCCCTCAACTTGAGAAAATGTATGTTGTGATTTGGTGCTATACAAATAAAATGAATTGAATACTGACAGAATGCACCCAGCTAAGTCCAAATTATGAATAAACTAAGATTCTTTTTCTTCACTTTTGGCGTTGTGCAACCATTTTACTCCACCTTCTTGAGATATACTGTGAGTGGCCGGGGGCTCCCTCACAAGCAGCTGTGTGTGTGTGTGTGTGCGTGTGCGTGTGTGTGTCACTTACGCAGCTTGCGTACGCAGC